TGCTTTTCAGAATTACACATATAAAGATTGTGCATGATTTTAACGCTGTTTTGTTCTGTTTGGGCGCAGCCAAACTACCCATTTAAACTATGGTTTGCCACCTGCAAAAAAGCATCGATTTTGGGGACCGCTATTGGGAGTGGTGTATTTTCTTAGTACAACATTTTTGCACAGTGAGGTCAGGTTCGTATTCCCTTATTCCCAATGCAACATGCCGGAGCTCAGTGAGAACACACACAAGCAGGGATGCAGGCAGGCAGGAAGGCACAAGAACACACACACATTTATTCCCACTGAAATGGGCTCACAGAGAAAGGAATTTAAGCCATTGTTGGATGGTAAAAACCTCAATAAAATGTCATCTGCAGCCTGAAGTAGAAATCTAAAGGTCGAAGGGACTGTGATATATACATGTTTATAGACTAACAAATGCACAGTGAGAGTGGTATTTGAGCAAAAAAAAAAAACTGAAAGAACTCAAACACACCCAAAACAAGATGTTCAAATATTTTGGTTGTGCTAGAATTCTGCGAGACGAGAAGAGAAAAAAAAATTCCACATTTACTCTGCAGCTTCCTTCGTCAGTCGCTGGAGAATCCATCACATTAAAGCTTTAATGCTAGAATAACAAAGCATCCATCATGTTGAATGCCGGCCCAGAAAACTGTGAGCCATTCAGGGCAAGAGCCTGCCATTCTCTGGGCACGGCACCCCGGTGTGAAAGGTGAGTTTGGAGCAAGTCAAGTCAAGTTTGCTGAAATGTGCAGTTTAAATGAACTTGACTTGATTGAAGTTCAGAGCATGTGATGAATACAACGTGCAATGAATGATGTTTTTCCTCAGATGCTGGAGAGGCAATCTAAAAAGAGAGAGAACAAGGAGCCATTCACTGGACAGGTTTCCCATCACCCTCTTCTCCTCTCTTGTCTGCAGTACTGCCTGACGTGAATTTACTGCCCGGGGGACATTAGTTAAATGAATAGGGAGGCAAGTAAATACAAAGTACAGAGGAGGGGAGACTACAGGAGAGGTGAGGAAAACAAGGGAAAGAAAGGGAGACCTAAAAGGTCGAGGGAAAGACAAAGAACGTGAAGAAAGAATTTAAGTAAAATAGAGTTAAGCAGAGGGACGAAGAGAAGAGGTGAGATAAGGAGATTATAAGAAAAAGAATAATTGAGGGTAAGAAAGGGAAATAGAGAGGAGACAAGAGAAGAGAGGGGGTTAAAGGGCACACGAGGGGGGGGAGACAAGGGAAGAGAAAATACAAGGTGAGGAAAGGAGGAAAAGAAGACAAGAAGAGTCGATGGACTTGAAGGACAGGAACAGTGGGTGGAAAAAAGATGGGAGTACAGAAATAAAAAAGAATGGGAGACAAGATGAGATTACAGTAAATAAAAGGATATACAAGCATGGGATAAAAGAGAAGGAAGACCGCAAGAGGAGGAGAGAGGAGATTAAAGAATAGAAGCCACAATGAGAGGAGAGGAGAGGAGAGGAGAGGAGAGGAGACAGATGAAATTAAATGAAATAAAAAAAATGGAAAGGAGGGACATAAGAGAAAAGAAAACCTTCTATGAGAAGAGGAGGCGCAGGGCAAGGAGATACCAAAAGACAAGAAAATGAGATGGACTTAAGGATAGACAAAGGGAAATAAAGGGGAAGAAACATACATAAAAGAAAAGACAGGGAGGATGGAGAATGTGTGCTGTTTGGAAAGAGAAAATGAAATGAAAAATAAATTAAAAAAGAACACAATGGAGAGAAGAGGAAAAGAAACAAAGTGAGGCACACAGAAAGGAGACAATGCAAGACATGAATGACACAGAAGGAAAAGGAAAGGTAGGAATAAGGGACAAGGAAGAAGGAGAGAGGAGAAGGGGACACATACATGTACAGATCAAGTCAAGCTCAGTAAATGAAACAGAAGAGCAAGAGGGGAGGAGATGAAAAGACAAGAGGCACAAGTGAAAAAATAAATGCTAGGATGAAAGGCAATCAAATAAAAGACAAAAAAAGGAAAGGAGATGAAAAGAAGACAGGACACAAGCAAAAGGAAAAAAAAAAAACATTGGATATGGGAAGAGGATGTAAGGATGAGAGGGAATAAGGGAGAGAGAAGGAGGATAACCCCTCCATTGTAGTGTCTCCATAGTAACACACATGGAAAAAAAAACCTTAACACATCATTCCCCTACCTTTCTATCTTTTTTTTTCTACGTCGTTCTGACAAAACTGCAGCACATTCACATTCAAACACGCACATGCCAACGGTATTCTGCACCCCATCTCCCATTGTAACCTGGCTCCATCATGTGGGGACCGTGTGAGCCGCGTTGCCATGGAAACTGAACACCTCACAGCAGTCCTCGGAGGGAAGACACGGAGCCTTACCTCTCCACTTTCACCTCCCAGTCAGCCACGTGACCAGCTCAAGTGCTGCAGCTGGAGCCACAGAGCAGCAACAGACTGAATGGATGTCATGTGCACTGCAAGAAGTGCCCTAAAAACCTGTTCTAAGGCAACAAAAAAAAAACATGTATATTTTTATCCTATGAAATACATGAGGCCAGTGAAGCGCAATAATTTGCTAACAGCTATACCTTACGTCTGATTCATCTGTGATAGAAATAAAAGCAAAAGTTGATGGTACAATCGAGAAACCCATAACTATATAACAAGACGAGTTATTGACTTTTTGAGGACGAAATGTGCTTTTACTATATTGAGGGAAAGTTCAATTTTTAAAGCATTTTCTGGTAGTTCGTTATTGGTGATAACCATCTTTTTTGAGTCTTAAAACAAAAAAGAATATCAGAAACTTTAAGAAAATACCACATTTAAGTGTGTATTATTCCATAAATTTGAGCTATTATCCTCAAACAAGAAAGAGCAGAGCAGGTTCAAACACGGAAGTCAGCAACTTTTAGATTTGATTTCAAAATGACCTAAAACAAGTAAGATTCCAAATAGTCTGACGAAGACTTTTATGACTCAAAACTTGTAGTGAGCGACTACAGTTGATCCATGGGGGTTTTTGGAATGTAACTAAAGAAGTATGAAAATGAAGACCATAGCTGAGGGTACAATATCCATATCTTAAGGTTACATCCCTTGGGGCCAGCATCTGTCCCATTACAGTGTGTCTACAAGAGTTGCCGTCATGGCGAGAAATTTTTCCAAAAATGGTGCAAAACCAATTACCACGCTGATGTATAGATTGGTTTTTGTGTACTAGAGTAACAAAGAGTGTGAAAATTTGGAGGAAAAAAAAAGGAAGCCCTCTTTGTAGAATGAAAAAAAAAAAAAAAGGCCACTGCTGACAGGACAAGGTAAGCAAAAGCTGTGCTGTGACTGAATGAACATAATGGGTTGGGGCTTCATTGTACAGGGTCGAGGAGATTTATAATGAGTGTGTGTGTGTGTGTCTGCAAAGGCTGTAACAAGCTCCACACACATTTACACACACGCACATACAAGCGAGTGCGACAAGGGGAGTGTGGTGGAATTGAGAGCGGGTGTAGAGATAAGGAGCTGCGGCAATGAGGTGGGGGGGTTGCTTCTGGTGCTGGTGGGAGGGTGTTGGGGGCTTGAAAAGATGGGCGGCTGCAGCACTGCATGCTACGGCGTCACCACCAGCAAAACCCCCCCCCCCCCATCATCACCGGACTTTATAACACCAATGCTGCCCAAACCGTTGTTATACACAACGCAAAAGGGGTCCTAATCAAGGGAGAGTTACATCACTGCAACACTCAAGTTTCAAACCTTTTGATAGATAGTAGTATGAAGGGGTTGAAGCGTTTAATTATGTAAATCAACCAACAATTAGGATGAAAAATTAGGATGTGAGGGTAAAACAGAGTCCCAAAAGGTGTCTACTTTAAGCCAATATTGGGGAGCGATTATATTTAAAAACTGCTGAGGGTGCATTGAGCTGATATGGTCAGTGTTTCTGCCTTAGGACAACTGCAATGGAAAAAGGTCTCTCTTTGCTCTATAGAGATGCTGGTGGCGTTTAAAAAAGGCAGGGGACAGAAGAAAAAAAAATCACCTCCAAAACTGTTCCCACCCATCACCATTCAGCAGAGGATCACCTCAGGCACTGTTTGGGGTGTCCTTACATGTGTGTAAGTGTATGTGTGAGAGGAAATAGTGCCATTAAGACATACTAGAGTTGTTACACATGATTGATTATCTGCCAGAGTAGATCAAACATGCAAAGATTGCCATTCCAGTTTTGCTAATAACATTGGCTTTAGGGAAACAGACAAAGAAGCAGATCATGCATTCAGCAGATACCATTCGTTTTGGCTTTTCTTGCTTCTACACATGTGCCATAGAATAGAAATATGGCGCAGCGATGAAAGATCCACAAACCCTTTTTAAAAAAAACGAGCAAATACAGCATGTGAGGTATGGCAAGAGATTAATGGGGAGAATCAACGGCTCTTTCTTGGGACTATGCAAAATCCCAGTAATGGTGCATTAGAATTCTGCAGTTTTGAAAGCAAGGTGACCCTACGTATCAGAAGAAACTACCATTTGTTTCAGGTGGCTGCTGCAAGTGCAAGCTTTTTGGCATACACAAAATTCCATGTCTATCTAGAACAGCTGCTGGAGACCACTTGGAGATGTAACACTGACCTTGAATCAGCACTTAGAGGGACACCGACCAGTCTTCCAGGGTCTGTGGTCCATGACTAGTTGCCAAGCTGTTTTTTTACAGCTACGTCATTTGGTAGTTAAGGTAAAGCGGGCTAAATGCTTGGAATTGTTGGGTGGTACGATCTGGGACAAGGCCAATCCTGATGTATTTTACAAGTAGGAAGAGAATTCCAGATGTAGGTTTCGGTAATTATTGCAGAGAAAAAGCATCCTGCGTGATTTTGATTGTGAAATGAAAGATGGCATGTGCAGGAACTGTCCTCAAAGTCCATTGAATTCCTTCTCGGTCTACCATTCCCATCAAACCCCTTCCACCCCTTGACGTGAAGTCTTACCTTGTCTCGTTTGGCCCCCCGCAGAGGAAAGAAGCAGGCAAAGAGGAACTTGCCCCAGCTGATGACGGCAGCCAGGCACCAGTTGAGGCGAGCCATGCCTGTGTCTATCCCGTTTTGTCTGCCAGCCTCTTATCTCCGGGATAAGATCCTGCTCTCCTAAAAAGGAATGATCACCAGCGTAAAAAAAAAAGACCCGGCGAAGCAGGAGATCCTCTTTCCCAAGTCCGTGGAACAGAAATGAATAAAATCTTCCTTCAAGTCAGAGAACTGGGGATTCAATTTTCCTTTCAGGGTTTTTCTGGCAATTTTGGCTACCTGTCTGGGTATGTGTCTGCAATTCCAATTTGAGGGGGAACAAGGGGGGCCACTGTGAAGCTACTGGCGTCCCACAAACTAGACTAGACCCTCGGATGGTCTGGAGGGACCTAAAGCATCAAGAGCCTAAAACTGCCTTTCTGTTTTTCCATCCATCTGTCTTTCCCTCTCTTTCGTCTCTTCCACTGTCACAGCCCGTCTCGATGAGTCAGTCTTCAAAGTGTGATGAGCATCGTCGGCTGCATAATGCGAAGAGCCTGTCGCTGATCGACGACACTGTTACCTATACACACACGCACACTGCCATGTCCACTCTCACTGTCTCTCACACACACACACACATTCAAGCACACGTAACGCTCCCCTGCAAAAATCGCTGTCCTGTCACATACATCCACAAGCAGAAGAGCCCCCCCTTCCAGTCACACGGCTCTCCTCCAAGCTCAGGATCCCCGGTGCTTCACGCTCATACACTCCGCTTACACACACTCCTCTCTCTCGCTCTCTCTCTCTCTCTCTCTGTCTCTCTCACACTCTTTGCTGCTCTCTCACACATACACACATGCACTGATGCTGCAGCACTTACTCAGCCAGCGCGGGAGGAGGGGAGCAGAAGAGTGAGGAGGGGGGGGGGAGAAAAGGAGAACTGACTGGGAACAGAACGGTTGAGAGAGAGAGAGAGAGAGAGAGAGAGAAAGATGGAAAACAGAAGGGTTTTTTTTTTGTTGAGAATTACATATTGAGTGTATTTGTTCAGTGTTTATTTTCAGAGTTGGAGCCCAGCGACGCTGAGGAGAAGACGATGGTGTGCGTGTGAGCGAAAGAAGTGCGCATCAAGTAGTGATCACTGGGAGAGGTGCAGAAGCAACAGAATGAACTGAAAGCCTGAATGGGAGTCAAAATGGACGGATGGGAGACATCAAGAGGACAAGAATGACAAAAAAGGAAAGCGGAGGAAAGGCATGAGGGGAAAATGTGTTTGAGGTTATTCGGCAGAGTACTGGTGAATACACACCGAAACATGCGCAATATGTACACACAAACAGACACGCAGCAGGCGTCACGGTGCAAGGCAGATACAAGGCAGGCAGAGGGTGAGATGATTGTAGAGTGTGTGGAGAATTGGGTCGAAGAAGGGAGGAGAGAAAGAAAGGATAGAGGATGACAGAAGAGGAGAGGAGCTGGGTGTTGAATCATTGTGTCTTGGGTGATTATTTCCCTCACTCTCTCTCGACACACACACACACACACACACACACACAACTGCAGGTGGTGCACAGGCTCGTTCACTGTGCTGCAGTCTCTCTACGCTTCAGTGGGAGCACATTTTCACTGCAGAACGCTTTTCTCTGCTACCCCCCCCCCCCCCCCACCTCCTTTCACCCCCAATCCCCAACCCCTCCCACCCAGCACACCACTGCCACACCAACGCAATCACAACACATCAAAGCAATGAGCGAGGGAGATAAAGTGTAGAGAGAGGATGCTGTTCTGTCAACCAAAGCTAGCTTAGCCTTAGGGGTGGGGGTGGGGGGGGGGGGGGGGGGTGCATGGGGCTGTTTGGGGGAACATAACACTAATTGGTGGCCAGATGGAAATGCGACTGCAATAAAAGAAATACAAATCTTTACATTGACAGAGAATTGCTCCCATCAGAAGCTCTCCTCATATTATCATATATATACACTTATGCTTATACTTAAATCTGCTGAGTACACTGTACGCCATCTACCAATATGTTCCTCTCTGAAAAGAATCTTGATTCAATGGTTTGTAAATATTTTGTCAAGGTTTGACTTTGAGCAGCAGAGAAGGTCCAAAAAACAAAAATAAAATGCTAGACTGGTGCGGATGAAGGATTTATGAAGTGTAAGATTGCTTTTGGGCAGGTTATGGCAAGTGTGCAAATCTGTTCTCAAGTGACTGGCATGCAGGTAAGCATGTATACAGGTCAAGGATTACTAAAAAAAAAAAAAAAAAAAACAGAAAGAAGCTTTAAGGCACAGAGCAATGCACTTAAAATAAAAATAAAAACAAGGGGAAAATATGAGAGAAACCAAGGGAGAGGTTGGAGAATGGCAGGAGGATCAAGAGGACAGACTTCCCCAAAAAATGTTGAATATTTCACTCATCCATGATTGACGATATCATTTTGCAGCACACATGTACCATTATGTGACCTTAGTAGAGGACTTGGTCTTGAAATAAACAGACTACCAGAAGCACAAGTAGCTAACACTGTGCAGTACTGTTCAATGATTACCAATCACTTGCCCGAGCTGCAACCAATGCTACATTTGGGGAACAGTAAGGACCATTAGAAAAGTTTCAAAGAGCACCAGAAGTAGACATCAACTCTTATTTAAAAAAAAAAAAAGAGGACCCCTTATTTTATTCTGTTATGTATGCATTTCTATATCCACAAAGTAGGCGTTTCGAACTTTTTGTTTTCTAGTAATAGTAAGAATTTGGGTGTATTGCAAGCCAACTACATAATTGAGAGCCATTCTTTATTCAGAGCAAAACAGGCTCCTGAGGAAATTCTGTTGGTTCTTCCCTTACTGGAACGGATGGACCAACACAAAAACCTGACATATATCCTTTATGTCGCCAGTATGGCTGCTATAGATAGACACTCCATGTAACAACACAAATCTATGCATTGCTACTGTACTTGTCTGCAGGGATAAGAAAAATGTGTCACAGAGGCAAACGGGCCCAGAAATTCAAAACAGACTGCATTTTTTCCTCAATGTCGACATTATTGATGTGGACCTGCTTTCTTTTTCCACGGAGCTATTGTTCTGTTTTACTTTAGGAAATTTGCTATTTTTTGGTGCACCCCTTGAAGAGAGAAAGCATTTAAGCATCAAATTTTATACAGGATTGCAGTAAAATGAAATATGTATAGGGTGGAAAGACTCATTCTGTTGTGTCCATTTTCATCCTTACTCAGAGGACATTTTACTTTCTGCAGCACAGATAAATGAGGAACATGTTTTTGTAAAGCACCGTTTTCTTCAGGCAGCATGTACTGTACATCTCAGTGTGAGACTGGGCTTCTGTCCCAGTCACTTGGCAATACGCTGACCTTTCTCATTAGACATAAGCAACTTGCATAATCACTGCTGACTTCTATTGACTGGACTGTCACACTGCCTATCCGTTTGACTGGAAACCCCATGAAAAAGTGCGGCCTGCCAAAAAACTTCTCCCTCAATGACTTTCCCCTGTCAACTGCAGTAGGATCGGAATCTATCATTTTTCACCAAGTGCACAAAAACAGGGACTTTGCAATGTAAGCTTTGATTTATCATCTGTTGCCTCAAAGGCTTTCTGGTAACACTATATCAATATGTAGTACATGTGGATATTTCCCCCTCTTCACAAATACATGCTTACTTCATATTCATATACTAAACACTGTCCCTTTATGTTGTCATTTTGTTTCAAGGAAAACGTATAATGACCTTTACTCCAAGTCTGAACACTTAGCTACACACTCTCATTGTGTGGATTTTCACTTGCCAAGAGCAAGGTTATACATTTTTCATTACATGCAAACAAAATCTAATTGAATCTAACTCATGGTAATTTTCACAATCAGGATCGTCATAATGTCTTATACATACAGAGCATCTTTCTCTAATTGTTGATTCAAGGAGTGGTGAGGTTAACATGTTTGTTCACGTGTAATTTCAAGACTGAGTGTTTGTTTTTTTGTGGGATTGGTTTGTGTAATGCAATTTATGTTCTGGTAGTAATACACAATACATTTTCCTCTACCACTACTGAAGCACTTTCAGTACCTTAGCATGGCTGGGTGGGAAAAACGGAAATTGGGTTATATTGTTCCTACTGTATCCAAAAGAATGGTTTGTCATTTTAAGGAAACTGCTCATACACTTGCCAAGAGAAAGGAAAAGGTAGGCGACACAGTATAAAGTCATGTTAGAGAAATGGAGGAGACAAGTCTGCATATAAGTGAATGATGAGGTGTGTGATGGGACCCTAATCTGCTGTCTGCATAGTAGAGTGTGCCCTCTGAATGTGAATTGGATGCTAGTGCAGAAAACAGCCAACCACACCATTACTTGGCAAGTGGAGTGAAGCAGAATGGTGATAGCTGCATCAGCTACATAATAGCGTTGCATCATAGCAGCATGTTACAGTGCAGCCGCCAATAAATTCATTGAAGAAGAGTGCGACACAGTGAACAATGTGCAATTATGGAGGACATAATGTATAGGTCTTCAATTCTGAGGTTGTCCATGGGCAGAGCTATGGGCTTACATTGGTGTGATATTACTCTCTTGAAATCCACAGGATATTTAAACATAGTGTGTTTTGTGTTTGTCCTTTATTACCGCTCTTCACATGGGAAGTGACGATTTTTTTCCACCAATCAAATGACTGCAGTGTCTAACTCCAGCCTTTAGGGTTGGATCAGTACGCTTGGCATTCCAACAGTAGGTAGCAAAAAAGTAGGACGTGCAGCTCGGTTATTTTGTTACAATTTCCAACTTTTGACAGTGGAAATGCCAATAAATGCGAACCGTACTGAACCAAACTAAACTGAACCAGACCACTGCTTGGTGGAAACTGGGCTTGATTGTGTTTTGACTCTAAGCATGAAGCTTATACCACCATCAGCTAACTAGGTTGAATCAGACCAAGTACTTGCCTCATAAATATAACCCCCATAAACTATATTTTTGTTGGGGTAGTCAAATGAGGGACTATAGTAAACCACATTTGTAGATATGTAACTGTGGTAGAATTTGTAATTTTGCATGAGGTTATGACTAGTTCCTATTTCCTGACTAGTTATGACTAGTTCCTATTTAGTTCCTTTCGTCTTCAAAATGAAATTCTGTTTTATTTATGTCCCTGTTTACCCCATTTACTCCCTCTTTTTGGGTAAGGTGACAACTAGTACTATACTTCCATTTCCAACTCATTACCTGCTCAGAAAAGGTTTAAATTTGATTGAAAGAATGTATTTGATAAATATATAAATCAATCAACATATCCATATTCGTATAACTTTTCAACAGTTTTCTTCTAATATGCTTTGAATCAAATGACTTAACACACACACTGACATGCCCTTGCACGGCAAAAAGGTAAGTCCTAACACCGGGTTGCAGGGTGTCATACATAATACATCATAACTCATAATAATGCAGACACCTCGTTGTTTCAGGAATGCCCCTCTTCATCACATTAATCCTAGAGAAAGCACTGCAGAGACAGGCGTGACCCTCGTGTCCCGTGATCAATGATTCAGTCTATTAAGTGAAGGTGCTTTGATCAGTAATTCTCAATGACACTGGATCAGCGTACCTGAGGAATCGCTAAATGACTACGTATTTTAGCAAACTGTCTGAAGCTAAATTTGATGTAATTAACAACTACCTTTAAGTAAGTGGTAATCAGGGAAACCACATTGACAAAAATCATTTTTGCATTACACTTATGAGGTGTATGGAGTCCCTCTGTCTGGAATATCCTCCGGGTGACAGGTTTATC